TTGAGGACTTTGTGTTTTTGATGTCTTTTTTGGATTCATTTTTGTCTTCTCGGGGCTTTTCCCTTTTTGGATGCATTGCTCGGGGGTTTTCCTTTTTCTGGCGTTTGCTATAGCATGTAAAGCATCCCAATGTTCACTCACAACAGCTGTTTCTGGCATTGTCATCTTTAGTATCCGAAGAGATACGCGGTTCCTGGCTTTTTTGAGAATGACTTTTTCTTCATCAGATTTTACCATCTCTGTCCACTCAAACTGCAAATCAAAACAATGGCATATTATGATTCAATGTAAATTTAATTTTGAAAAAAAAATACAATATTAGATACAAAACAGTACCCCACTCATCTCTTTTGTTTTTTTCAGTTTTACCTTTTCATTTTTGAATATTTTCTTCTCCAACAACTCTTTGTGTGTCCTCTCGTCCGCTGACCATCTCAATGCCCTTGGCCATGATGTCTTCCTTCCTTCATCCAGTATACATTCCTTCTCTTTCATCAGTGCTGGAAATGTTTCATACGCCCATATCTGTAAAGCGAAATGGAATCCAGGGAAATTGAACCTTGGTTTCTTGCTTGTATTCATAATACAACAGCATTTCCGAACATTCTCTACAAGATCTTTCCATACATCTTCTCTCCATGGATACCTATTAAACTTGGATAAATCATCGACCAAGTGAAGATACAGTCCATGGAGTTTAATACTTGGCTGGTTACCAATTATACAGGTCCCTAACATGTATAGGAGCCCCAACTTCACTGCATCTAAAGCTTCTCTATTTTTATTTCTCTTGACTCTCGAATTCAATCTTCACATCTTCTCTTGTCACATTCATTTGACCATTGAAGTATCTTTTACTTATGTCACTTGGTTTTGTATAATTCTCAATTTTTTCACTAATGCTCCCAAACCTAAAACCACTCACCTCCTAGAAGTCTTTCTTTGTGAATTTAATCAGTCTGTCACAAATGGAAAATGAAATTTCTTCAGAGGCGTGCACTCTGTCCATTGGCTCCACATGGTTGAGTGTTAGAAGAATGAGAAGTTGGCCATTAACACATTTCAATTCTCCAATGTCTAACCAATATCCAAAAGTAATCTCTCGAAATTCACTTAGTTCTTCTTTTGAAAGCACTTCTTTCAACTTCTTAACCCCATTACCAACATTGCAGTATGAATTTATTTTAGCTTCAGTTTTTGTATCCAGTAGGTTCGGCTTACATAGGCATTTATAGACCTGTCACATTAAACAAAATTCTGTTCACTTCGTTTCCAAAACATAACACAAATTGCATTTGAAAGTATTTTACTTTTTCATTCAAATGCCTTAGAGGACATTAATACACAGTAACATCCGCTTGACTTTATGCTTCTCATTCAATGCACAGTAACATCCGCTTGACTTTATGCTTCTCATAAGCCCTCAAAATTTTATGTCCCAATAAAAAATGTCATTATATTCATTTAAAGACTTAACAGGACATTCATTCACTAACCAAAGACATTGTCTCATCATCACAATAAACCCATGTAAACCACATAGACATTAAAAGACTTGGTCCAAATCATAGACATCCACAATTCAAGTGTACAAATCCCACTAGCATCCCTTGGGCTTTATGTTAGTCATAATCTCTCAATACATACTTTTATATCCACAAATATCCATTATATTCATTCAAATGCCTAACAGGCATTAATATGCAACCAGAACACATAGTCTCATAATTTGTAATAATCCAGGTAGACATTATCAGACATTATTCTTATTAATAGACGAGTAGACAGTAATACGCCAACGGAACACAGTCTCATAATTTGTAATAATCAAGGTAGACATTATCAGACATTTTTCTTATTAATAGACGAGTAGACAGTAATACGCCGACGGAACACAGTCTCCTAATTTGTAATAATCCAGGTAGACATTATCAGACATTATTCTTATTAATAGACGAGTAGACAGTAATACGTTAACGGAACACAGTCTCATAATTTGTAATAATCAAGGTAGACATTATCAGACATTTTTCTTATTAATAGACGAGTAGACAGTAATACGCCGACGGAACACAGTCTCATAATTTGTAATAATCCAGGTAGACATTATCAGACATTATTCTTATTACACACAACCACAATTGAATTGTTTAAAGCACAAAAACATCTGCTGGATTTATGATTCTCTTCAGCCTTCAAAACTTATATCTCAATGAAAAAATTGTAATAATTAGACATTAATAAAACCGAGTAGACAGTAATTAGACCAAGTAGACATTAATAGACGACACTGTAGACATGCTCAATCGAAAGCTCATAACTATTGAATTCAATCAACAATAACAGAATGCATGCCTTCAATCAATTTCATAAAGTTCAATTCATGTTCATCAATTTGAAATGGTAAATTTCAGAGCTTACGAGGTCGTTAGGCATTGTTAGAAGCTTATCATCGGACTCCCTCGGTACAAAATCGTTGTCTTCGCTTTCACCTTTCTTAGACGCCATTGTTACCTTCATCGAACATTGATTTACTGAAGCGATTGGTATCGCTTTCCTAGATCCGTGCTCTCTCTCTCTCTCTCTCTATTTTCGCTCCTATAGATTTGCATCGAGAAAAGGTGAGCCTGAATTGTTTAATGCCCTGATCGATTAGCTCGTTTCCCTAGATTTCTTCTCGCTCGTAAATGTCTCTCGGTTTTCGAAAATTGCGGCTTGCGGGTTTCTCCAAATCCAGCGGCCAGGGTTATTTTAGTCATTCTAGTCATTAAAAAAACGTTTTCGGTAGTACTAGTCCTACTTTTGGAAATTTGCATCATTTTAGTAACATATTTTGAATTTTCGCTTGAATTTTTTGTTTTAGATAATGGTTAAAAAATATAGCTAAATAGAGTATACAATGATGTTAGAAGCATAATGAATGATAGGAAATAAATAGAGTATGCTAACTAAAATTCATATATATATATATATATATATATATATATATATATATATATATATATATAGACACACACACACACACACATATATATATATAATGGTTTTAGAGAGAGGCTGGAGAGCTCTTCCGCCGGCGGCGATCTTTTATCCTGGATATTTCTCAGCTCCACCATTTATACATGGAAAGAAGCTGCAAGGTCCTAATCCTGATCACCCCTCTTCGTCTTCTGCTATCGAAGCCGCTACCCTACCCCGGTCAATCATTCATGGAGACATATCAGAATCAGACGGATCTCTCCACCTCCACCCTGCTCCGGTCATCGTGGACCTGGGAATTCAAAACCCACTATCAGAGATCCAAGAGAGAGATACACCCGCAGGTCCATTCAAGTTCAGAATCGAAGGTAAGATTTTCTCTTTTACTCTCTCGAGATTCAACAAGAAACTATGCATTACCGAATTTCATGGGAAGAAACGATTCAATATCTGGTTGGGCCTAGATCTCTGCTCTTGGCTACTAGAATCCCTAACTCATTTTGCTACCCAAGGATCTTTAAATTCAGTGGCTAAGAGAGAACAGAGTAGTTCCATTTCTTTAAGTTTCTGTTTTCATAGAACCAAGAACTTCATTAAGATATGCGAGCATCATAGAGATGGCAGGACCTGGATCTTCATTCCCGAAGCTAACCAAGGCAATGGATTCACCACATTCACCCACTGCTTCAAAAAAGCCTATGACTTACTTAAGTCTTCCATTCCCCTACCCCAACCTTTCATAGATATGGCCATTATTTGCTCTCAGAACTCACTGCCCTCACAATCCCAAGCTCTTTCTATTTCACAAAGCCTTCTCAGCTTGGAGATTCCATTAGATACCCTATATAATCCAATTGAATTCAGTAAGCCTTTAAATCCCTCAACGCCTTTGAAGCTTACACCAGTGTCTTCTCCCATAGCACTTGCTGTTTCAAATCCCCCCTCTATCCACTTGACCATTCCAGCCCAAACCTCTTCATATACCATCAACGGAATCAGAGGAAGAATGGATCACGGATAGAGATTCTGAAGAGGAGGAAAATTGGCATGTGAAGACAGAAGCAATCAAGAAAAGAAACCAAAGGAAATTCGACAAACTTTGCCAAAAGCTACATGAATCTCCTCGTCCTCGTAGAAGTAAAAGGCTCTCGGATCTAAGAGCAAAGCTTACTCATGAAAAAGGGATTTGAAGGTTTACTTCCTCCTTTACATTTGTTAATTATGCAAATTAATCTAGGACCTCCATACAAATCAGGTTATTGATTTTACTGGGCATCTTAGAGAATTTGTTCTAGTCTGCCTTTGATCACCACAGGTCATTTGGCATGTTTATTAGTCTCTCGAGGCCCTGGGCAGTAGCAGGAGGACTCAATCTGCAGAATTTGCGAACTCTATTTCACTCTATACTTCATGTACTGCACACATTATGATTCAATCATGGGAAGTAATAATCAAACATTCCCTCATTTGATGCATTTGGAATATCTCCCAAAGGATATGGACAACAACGGATAAGTGGCAAGCCTAGTGAACCCCACTTCTGTCTAGACTCCTTTGTTTTTCTTGTAGTTTTTTTGTTGTTTTGGCTCTTGTAGTGCAGTGAATTTTCAGGCCTTGTAGGGGTCCGGCCAACCCCCTCCTTTTGTACTTTCTTTTTATTTCTTTATCTTTCAATAAAAATTTCCTTTTAATAATATATATATATATATATATATATATATATATATATATATATATATATATATATATATATATATATATATATATATATATATATATATATATATATATATATATATATATATATATAATGGAGGGTTTTAGAGAGAGATGGGGCGGCGCTAGGGCTTCTGTTCACCATCGACGATTACGGCGCGCTGCCACTGCTTCTGTACTGGCCGATTACCGACGACTAGGCCATGGGAAAGAAGGTAACGCCACCGGGGAAGGAAGATATCATTGGCAAACAGCCACCACCAGGAACCAGCAGTCTACTTGTGATATGCATATCGGGAGGAAGCGGACAGTAAACAAATCAATCATCGATGCTCCTTTTAGAATCCAAGCAAAGAGGTTTGAATTCCAATTTTCAGCCTTTAACAATCTTATTCAGATTACTGAAAGAGGACGATGGAAATCTTCCCAATTTTGGATAAACTTGAATATGGTTCAGTGGTTGTCTTCTTGTTTTGAATTTGTTCTTCTAAATCCGGTGACTACCTACTGGGACCAAGACCTTACGGCAGGTAATCGAGCATTCCGCTTTACTCTGGACACAAATGCTTCTGGATTTTTCATTAGAATTGTTGAGAAATTTGAAAATGGTCATTCTATAATCTTTGTTCCTGAGGACTGTTGCAGGCATGGGTTTAGATTATTTCTTGCATTTCTCAATAAAGCATCTTATCTACTGCTAAACAATAAGGGCAATCTTAATTTAGCAACACAAAAGGTAGGTGATGCTACCAAAGATCATTCAGAGGCTGTGCCCAATGAACAAACTCTCATGTCTGGAATTCCAAAGCTGAATGTAGAAGCCAGAAACTCCAAGGCAGGGCCAAGAGCTTTAACAAATTTGGAAAACAATGATACCATTGTGACATCTCAAAAGGCCACCCTGGAGAAATCACATGTAGGAGACATGGGTAGCAATGAGGGAGGCTCAAGTGGTTCATTTAATGTGGCGCAAAAAGATTGTGATGCTGATAATTCTAGTGTGGCAGTAATTGGATCCGAGGATACTTTTCAAACAACCACAGTGAGGAACTCACCTATTGAAGGCATTGGGTTAGCGTTGGCAGTTAGCTCTTCGGTAAGTTTTGGGACAGGGGTATTTCACGCCATTACAGGCTCAATTTGTAAAGGTAAGAATGACAAGGAGACTTTTAGCCTAAACAAGGATGACAATGAGGGTTGTGTTGTTAATAAGCTAATAGAATCCTCTTCACAAGCATCTCGAAGCTCAACTATTGATAAGCTATCAATTCATGCATCTCCGTTCTATCCTAGAAATCCTTTGCCAAATAACCTATCTTTGAAGGACATGAAAGCCCTAAACCTCAAGGCAGAGGATATCGGAAAGGACTCGATGATGACCAGTAGTTCATCAAAGAGTCCTGTTGGCATGTTGGGGACTAGAGTTGGTGACAGTGATAGTTATCATACATTGGAAGAGGAACAACAAATGTTGTTTGGGGATAGGGTCTCGGAAGAAGTTGATTTAGTAGAGTCTGAGCAAATTCATGAAGATATTTTTTTTCAAATTGTGGAAGACTTTGATCATAAAGGGAATGGTAAAAGCAAGAAAAACAGAAAGAAAAAAGGAAATAAAAAGAGTAAGTGAATATTTGACTTCCTTTGGTCTTTCGTTCCAACTTCCCTTAGATCGTTGGTCTTTGAAATTACTCTAGATTTTTATTGGCATCTTTTATCCATGTTTTATTTGGGCTTTTGTTACGGTACCTCATTGATGCAGATGCTGGAACATTGGTTTCTTGTCCTGGGAACGTCCCTATCTGCCTCTTTTTGTTCAAGGGGTCTTCTTACAAATGGGAGCTATGGTTTTTGACAGTTTTTTGGCCGGGTGATCCTAGTGATTTTTGATAGGGGCTGCTTCTCGACAAGTTGGCCAAGTCACAACCATGATATCTTGTTTTTTTAGATTGGCCGGTTTTTACTTGTTTGATTGTGGACTTATTTTCATTTGTTGGCTTGTGGAAGCATCTTTTAGTATTCAGTCTCTTTTAGTTTGGCTGATTTGTTGGGTTGGCCACCCCCCCTTGTACTACTTTTTCTTATTCACTTAATAAAAACCACTTTCTTTAATATATATATATATATATATATATATATATATATATATGATGGCTAGAGAGAGAAATTTTTCCGGCAACCCTCCGGCTAAGATTCCGGCACTTAGCATCTCTGGTACTAATCGTAAACTCCCCAAGCTTTTCTCAGAGTTGTTTTCTCATTCTACATCAATTCCCCTGGGAAAGGTGGAGGGATTTTACAAGGGCATCCCCTCAGCCTCGTTTACATATGAAGAAGAAGGAATATTGGCAGAGAATTTTAAGTTTGCAGTAATTGGGCGCAGTAGCCAAGAGCTTAATCTGCAAGAGCTAAAAGCTTTCCTTCTTAAGGGTGGCTTCAATGGAGGATTCAAAATAAGAAGGGTGTCTGCAAAAACCATCCTTTTCATCTTCACGCAGGAAGCAGACTATGTCAGATTCCTTAGGAAGCAAAACTGGTTTGTTGGCTCTGCTCATCTTCATGTCTGTAAATGGAGTAAGAATCTTAATATGTCTTTTGATAATCCAGTGGTTCCTATTTGGGTTACTTTCAAAAATCTTCCATTACACTTTAT